GTTTTATCAATAATATAATTTAAATCTGATGTATTTTTTGTGTGTAGATGACTTATTAGTGAGAGTGATACACTGAAGTCTCCCACAATTATTGCATTAGGCCCATTATACCCTTTATATTAAGTAATGTTTGTTTTATGAAATTGGGCAAACTGACATTCAGGGCATAAATATTTATAATTGTCATATCTTCTTGTTGCAGTGTTCCCTTTACCAATATGATAAAACCTTTTTTGTCTCTTCTGACCAGTTTTGTCTTAAAGTCTTCTTTGTTTGACATGACAATAGGGACTCTGCTTAATTTGGATTTCATTTGCATATAAAATCATTTTCCATCATTTTACTTTTAGTCTGTTGATTTATTTGCCTGTGAGGWGTGTTTCTTGGAGAAARCATTCAGTTGGGTCTTATTCTTCAAGCCCATCTTCCAATCTACATGTTTTAACTGAGGAATTAAGACCATTGACATAAGTGTTATTATAGAGCAGCATGTATTATTCTTGTCATTTTTAAAATTTAACATTTGATTCATTCCTAATTATCATATGCTTATTTATTTTTCTAATGTGATTTATCATTTACCATATTCTCTTGGTTATTTTTTATCTACCTCTTCTTTGTGTGGGATTCCTTTTAGTATCTTATGCTGTGCTAGATTAATGGTTGCGAATTCCTTTAGTTTGTGCTTATCTTGGAACATTTTTATTTCTCCTTCAATTTTGAAGGCTGACCCTTTCTGAATATAGTACTCTAGGTTGATTGTTGTTTCTTTCAGGATTTGAAATACATTGTCATTATCTATGTCATCAYGATGCATCTGCTGTTATTCCAATGGGTTTGGCTTTATATGTGATTTGGTGCTCTTTTACAGCTTTTAAATTCTTTCTTTCTTCTGAACTTTTTAAATTTTAGCTAAATTAAATTTTTGAAATTTTAATATAAGGTTTTATGTTCTGTCTAGGTGGGATTGTAAATTCATAACATTAACCAAAGAATTTTATAATTTTACCAGTCAAYTATGAGAGATGAGAAACCAATGGGAAGATTGTATAGAATGTTAGTCATGGTGTTTCAAATATGTTTCTCATTATAAATGGACTTTAATTACATACAAAATAAATTCTCCTGTTTGCCAAGTGCAGAACTTCATTGATTCCATAAAATATATTTACCRGGCAACTTTATGTGTGTACATGTAYTCATTTTAGCTATGGATAGGATGTGATGGGAAGGGCCCCAATATCCTGCACCAACTTCCCCTACTTCCATAGCACCATTTATTTTTAGTAGTCTTGAAAGATACACTAAAGGAAAAAAATGTCATTTAAATTACTTGRTTAGTGATACTATTTCTAGGTTCAAGGAAGATCTGGCTTAAAATAAATTTGTCTTTGGTTAAGTAATCAGTCTTCTTGGTCATCCAATTAACTGCCCATATAATGAGCCACTCCTGGTTTTAGCTTGAAGCCACATTTAATATGAACTTTATGTATTTATTTCTGCTTGCCTATTTTGCAGGATGTATTTTTCCCAAGTAACAGATTTTTTTTCTTATTCCCCATTGGAATGTTTCAACTACATTAGTCTTCAGATAATTGMGCAAAAACAGAATATTTTGCTCAGCAYTGGGCAAAGTGTGCTYAAAGATGGTGAGAGTCCTCCTCTGACCCTGAGTGGCCCCCCCACAGGTCCAGAAGTACCCCTGAGAAACCCACTATTTCCTCACTACAACAATCTCTCCTCCAGCTATGTCTACTTAAATGTACTTATCACTAACGATTAAATCACCATAGGTTCTCTCAGAAAAGTTTTTCTTAAATAGATTTTATTTTTTTTATCTCTCCTTATCAAAAAAAAATCCATCACAGCTCTATCCTTTTGTAAGATTGGGAATGGACAGAATCTGGTGACAGTCCTACATGCTTAGAAAATTCTGTATATTTTTTTCTTCATGAGTATCTCTTCTTTATTACAATTTTCATACACACCCAATGCTMATACAAGATATTCAAGTTCCACGCCAGTGTATGAATGAGATTTCACTGATGTATGTTTCAATCAAACAAACCCACTAAGTGAGGCTTAGAGATACATACATAAAAATGTATACATATGCATGTGGTATACATATGTATACATATACAAATACACACACATATTATCTTCCTAATATGTATGTGTGTTTACACACACAAGCATTCTTGAAGCTTCTTAAAGCATTACTTTGTTTAATAAATGATGATTTTTTAATAAGCATAAAACACTAGTCTTCACCTTGTGGGGAAAATGATGAAAAASATATAATTGCTAATTTTCAAGTACCAGTAGTATASTATAGTATAGTATAGGGAGAAATTAAGCATGTGAACTAGAGAAACTAATATCCATAAGATTAAAAAAACTAAACTTAACAGAGAACTATTGTGTGTTTCACCAAAGGATTTGTCTCTTCACAGATACATCCAATTCTGGTTTCTCTTAAGACAGTTTGTTAATGAACTTTAATTTAAATAAGTTTTAAGATCAAAGCCATCTCCATTTTCAGTAATGCAACTGTTTGATAAAATGATGATCATGTGTGTAAAGGGTTTCTGATAATAGTATTTTATAAGATTGGAATAGTTTACCAGTGAATTGATAGAACATTGGGTAATGTGTTCACTTCCCTATGAGAGTTATGAAATATGTAAGTAGTAACATCCCAGTTCTCCTTCTGGAACTCAACTCACAAAATGGTTGAATCATTTCCAGACAGTTTTATGTTTTATTCAGTGCAAATAAGAAATTGTACATTGAAAGTATTTTAAAATCATGTGGGGAATATTCATCATGACACTTTCACTAAGAAAAGATTAGGGCATCTTGACAAAGCTAGGGTGCTACAGCCTTAGGCAGCAGCACTGGGGACAAGACATCATTTTAGATGCAACTCTGGTTTTCCTAMAAGCTTTTTGAGAGAGTATTATAACTGCCCTTGGTATCCATTCCAGAGTGCATGATGTCCTGAAGTGCTAGAAAGAGGCTTGACAAGGTGTGCCTCTCTGTTCATGTCCTGCAGACAGCCAATCTAGTAAGAACAGAAGTGGCTACAGTCCCTTTACAGTTTGCCACATTGTTCTAGGTTCTCTTCTTTTTAAAACTCTCCTTGGAAACTGTAAGGCTAAGTACATCTGTTAAAATAAATTAAAATTTAGGCCTCTCCTACAGAATCTCTAAACAGTCCGGCCTCATAAGGGAGTTTAACATAACTTGATTTGTAAACACAGGTGAAGCTTCACTTGAACTATTTCTTCTAAATGTCTACATTAAAGAAAAATGAAACTCAAAGCTAACCACTAAGAAWCCACCAACCAACTTTTAGAACTAGGGACACTACAGAAGAATGGAACAAATTAAGGCAGCCKTATAACTATGACCAATCAAGTATTTTCTTTCTTTACTTCGGTGTTCATTCTTCAAGAGCTTCCGCCTTTGAAGTCCCTCTGTGTAATCCCCAAAACACTTCTAAGCATCTTGAATTGTGAATTGTTATTTTTTCAAATAAACATTTTAAATTTYATTGTGCCTCAATTTACCTCTTAACACAACAGAAAATAATTGAGCAAGCCACAGGCTGAGCCATGAGAGCCATTTCATCATGGCAACTGTGAGCAAGAAACACATGTATTTATCTCTGCATCACCACCCACAGCAAAGGCAGGTTGACTTCATTCAAACTCCAACTCGGCCACTTTGCTGAGGTGGGAATAGTAATGCCTAACTCACAAAATTTATGAAAAGTTTAAATAAATCTTGCCATTTCTCTCCCTCTTTCACATACAAGCACAGCTGTAGAAAGCATATAATAAGAACTCAATAAAGTGGAAGAAATGATGGAAATTYTTTTGATTAATAACTTACAGCTTAGCATGCTTCTCTGTTTTGCAAGAGATGCATCGCTGGATGGTTGATTGATTAACTCCATAGATTCCGAGCCATGTAAAAGTTCCTCCCACTGATATTGTCCACAAAGTGTGCCGCCGGAGGGGATCTACATCAAAACTGTGAAACAGTGAAGAAAGTGAATGTCAATTCATTCAATGATTAGAATTATTAGTTGATGAGGCCATTCAATTAAATCTTTATAATGCCTTAAAAAGTAGCATTGGACATACTCAACTATATGAAGTCGGGATCCATTGCTTGCTTGCTCTAATACATTTTGTAATCCACCATTGTGAGCCGATCCTTGAATGAGAACTGTTAAGAAGCCCACAATCATGACAATCATCTGAAACGCATCTGTCCACACCACTGCTTTYAATCCTCCCTAAAATGAACAGAATGATGTAAAGTTTTAACAGCAAGGTCTGTAAAGCTCCCCACTCCGGACAGTTTCCCTACTAATGCAATCATTTCATTTGTTCAATAACAGTTGCTGAGCATCTTTTATGTGTCAAATTTTTTGTTAAACATGAGAATAAGTTGTAAGTGAAAAATATACTAACCACTAAGAAACCACCAACCAACTTTTAGAACTAGGGTCACTACAGAAGAACACAACAAATTTAAGCAGCCGTATAACTATGTTTCTTCCTTAATTTCATTGAGCTCAAAATCTAATGGAAGAAGCAGATGTTTGATAGTAATATGACAACTTAAAATTATGGAACATGCGATTAAGAACAGGTTACTATTGGAGCATACAGCAGGAAGTCTTAACAAATTCTTTCAGAGTGATAGACAAGCTAAATTCTGAAGAATAAGTAAAAATTTGTCAGGCACAGAAGACCAAGAGGGGATCAAACCAACATGTATGAAGAAAGAAGAAACATTGGTCCTCAAGGAAATGAAAGAAAACTTGGATATACACAATCAAGCTGTGGAGAGCCTAAAGGGGGAACCTCTGAATTCTCTCGAGGTCAAGCAGATGGATATTGATAAGTACACTTAAATAATTCACAATTGCCAGGAAATATCATTAAAAAGAGATTGATAAGAGGGTTTTTTKGGTAATATTTCCATTGGTGGTTGTGTGGATAATGAATTGTAAGACTACAGAAGACAAGGTGTCAGGAGAGCAGCTCAGAGTTTATTCCTGAAGTCCATGCCCAAGATGGTCAACAGTTTGAAGTAGGGTAAGGGTATGGATTTGAAGGATATTCAAGAAATAGCTTATGATTCCTTAAATACAGGCAATTAGATAAGCACGGGAATTAAGAATAATCTCTTGGTATGACTTGTATAACTTGGACTCTTTTTTTGTTTGTTTTTATGAAACTAGTGGCAGTGAAAACACTTTGGGAAATGGAGATAGTCAAATACTGAGAAAGAATAAAAACCTAGAAAGGAATGTTGGATTCTATTTATCCATGAAGGAAGGAGTTTTAAGAGCTACAGGATGATCCAGTAGGAAGGTGAAAAAWATTAGAGTTTAAGGAAGGCAAATTTAGTAGTAGAATTTGTACAGAATAATGATGCAAGATGTCAGAGCAGTGGTTATGAAGCCTCATTTCCCTCTAGAATCACCAGAGGGATTTAAAAGGGTTTCTGAATTAATTGAGGTCTGTATTAGGGGTTTGTCCTCAATGTCTTTTGGAACTCCCTAATGGATTCTAATGTAGAATTTTAGCTGATAACCTGAGGATAAGAAGAAAGGAGGAAAAAGAGACTGTTGCATTTAGTGTTCCATGTATAGAAGTCCTTAAGAATCCCACCATACAGAATGCATAGAATCACACGATAGTGAAGATGTGGTGAGCTAATAGGGAAAAAATAAATGAAGCAACATATTTTAAAAAGTGTTTTTTTTAAATGAAAAGCTCTAGGTAAATGAAGGATGTGATATTTTTAACACTGAAAAGTAGAATTATCATCCCCAGTTACTCCTCCAGAGTGTCAAGAACTTCTGTGAAAAGATGACATGCTTTATCTTTAACTTGAGAAGAAAAAAAAAACATATTTTTGATGATGGTTGTCCCATCATTTCTTTTGTAATTAAAAATAAAATTTGATTAAAAAAAACAAAAACAATCCCTGATAAAGGCATGTGTTAGTCTAATATATTGTCTAAATYATGTTTTGAGAAACAATAAAATTTTTACCTCCTCCCTCCTAGATAGTTCTATCTTGATTTCCTTTAAAGATGTTCTGCTTTCCAATCTYAAATGTCAATTTTAGATTTTAGTCACATGAAGACCCAATACCCAAGGCTTCAGGATTCAGAGATTATTTGACATTGGTTATGCAAAAATTTGCACAAACTTGAGCATTAGCTACACATGCAAAAGAACAAACTCYTTTATCAAGTAGTCATTGAGTCAGATTACAGTCACCATGAAGTTTTCTCTGACTCCTGTATACAGCAAGTCTCTGTCTCTTCCCTGGGGGCTCCTCTCTCTCATCAAACTTTGTTGATTTGAATCTAATGTCCACCTCACTAAATGGCAAACCTCTGGATGGCAGGAATCACTTATTTTTAAAATACTTTCCTCTGGTTATTTTCCACATGGATCATCCACTAGAGGATCACAATAAAGAGCTCACAGTAAGAACGCAGGTATTAGATAAATAGGCCCCATGCTGGTGAGACACAGAAGCCTCTAGCATGGCTAGAGAGGAGAGATGGCACAGAGGTGCGGTGAGGCAAACTGAGATAGGCAGATTGGATTCACTTCATGAAATATTTTCAACTCTAGGTTAACAAGCTTTTCTTTATGCTGCAAACAATAGGAAGCAAGAAGAGAATTAGGCTACTGAAGTGGCATAAAGAAATACATGTCTGAGGAAGATTCATCTGACAGAGGCARACAAAGAATGGAGACATGAAGCCAGTTAGGAGGCAGCAAATTTAATTCATTTCATTTTATTCATTAAAACGCTCAGACTCTTTTTTAATATTGTACTATAAGGGGTCTCGACTTTTTCTGTGCCTGTTTTTCTCTTTCCTGCACATGCTTAGATCAATTGTTTTTATTTAAATTCCATTTTTTCATTTTGATTGTTTTATTTAAAGAGGTTCCCTTGAAATTTTCCCATACATTTTAAATTTAAGAGTGAAAAACTTAATGCCATAAACCCCAACAATTCAAATGGTATAAACCTATAAACCTGGTTATTCGCTTCCTGATTTAGATGCTACTGTTGGACAATTTGGGACWTGTTCTTTTGCTTAATCCCAAAATTATATAAAAGCAAATGAACGATTATTATTCATACATTTTATATCATAAATAATATATACCATTTAATATTGTAAAGAAATACAATATTAAATCACAACTGACTAGAATTACTAAATATTTACTTCAGGTATCCTATATCCAAAATGTTTGCAACCAGAAACGTTTCAGATTTCAGTGTTTTTCAGATTTAGGAATATTTGTGTGGAATTTTTCAGCTGAATACCCTTAACCTGAGAAATCCAAAATTTGAAATACAAGCTCCAAAATCCAAAATTGTTTGAAGATAATGTCTACACTCACAAAGTTTCACATTTTAAAACATTTTGGATTTTGGAATTAGGGAGTTCTTCCTGTATTTTATTTCTTAATCATGACTTTTTCCACTTAAAACTGGAACACATTTTTCCCTTCTTCCCATAGTACTTCCTCTAGGTGTTTTCTTGGAGGAAAAGCTGTTAGTGACAAATTCTCTTGGTTCTTGACATTCAATTCTTGAAAGACAGTTTTATTGAAAATACAACCATAGGTTGACAATTATTTGTCCTCATGTGTTTGAAAATACTATTTCAGTATCTCTGGCATCTACTGTTGCTGCTGGCTCTTGCTCAGGTCTTTTTTTTTTTTTTTTTTCATACCTACTATTCTATAATTTCACTAATACATGCAGATCTTTCTTTTTTCTTTTTATTCCTTAAGTTCGTACTTTTCATTAATTCTATGGATTTTTATCTTTTAACAGTTCTGAAAATTTTTGAGTTACAATTTTTTGAGATCTCCTTCATTCTTTCTGTATTATTCTGAGACTTTAATTACACATAAATTAGATGTTCACATTTATCTTTTATATGACCCCATTTCTCTTTCATTTTTGCATCTCTTTGTCTTTCTGAAATATTCTGTCATTTCTTCAGATATATCTTCTGGTATAGAAATTGTATAACTTTTCAAATGTATCTACTTTWATCATAATTGGTACATTGTTGATTATTGCTGATGCTTGCTTGGCTTTGAAATTGTATTCTTTATTTAAGTTCTTTTGGAAAATCTATTCTTTATTCAGTATCTTGCAATGCCAATGTATGCTAATCCTGACAGGCTAAATCTCATCTGTTGTTTTGCTAATATTCACTCATAGTATCTTGTTATACTATAGTRTTAATGTGATAGAAAAAAATGATGAAGATAAAACTTTAAATGTGTAGAAATTGTGGAATTTTCAAGTATGAAAAAGAGAAACAAGGGCAGTTTAAATTGTATATTATCATATATTTGTTACAAAATATACGTGTTGTAAGCATATTCTACTCTATGATAATGTATCAACAATTTTACTTTTCTTTGTAAAGGAGGAAGGAGAATCCCTCTATCTGGGAACCACCACCATATTCTTAATTGGTTACATTTAGCCAGAAAATGGTGTGATGAGTCAGAAGAATAAAACCTCCAGTTGCAGGGGATGGGCAAATAATAARTGCTCAATGACTCTTTGTTAAAATCAACTAATTGTAATAATTGTAGGAACATGCTATCAATACCAGCCAGATTCCTTGATTAAAAAATAAGCATGTGTAAAGACAAATGTTAAATATAATCTAAGTTATCTATAAATGAGAGACAAAATAACTGTGGAATCCTCATGTTTTAAAAATACTAACTATCYTTGCTCACTCATGCATGTATTTTGCTGCTTCTCAACTGACAGATAGTGAACAATAAAATGCTACCTATGATTTACGAAAACTGTTAGGGAGAAAACTATTCTTAGAAGTTGCACAGGGTCACCTGGGCTCTGTCCTCTGATCAAGGAGGTATGTCTTTTACTAGATCAACTTTCATTAGGAATAACATACTTGAGTGAACTCAGACTTCAAATTTGCCTAATGTCTGATTTAAAAAAAGAAAAGAAGAAGAAGGAGGAGGAGGAGGAGGAGAAGAAGAAGAAGAAAAGAAACAGCACCTTCCTCAGAAAACTAAGGCATATAAGCCAATATATTGCTATTTAATTTTGGGATATCAATTACAGCTGTAATTTGAAGTCCTGCTGCTGGAAATTTGCCTTTATTCCAAATTAAGAGGAGTGTTTGATATTTTTCCAACTAGATACATACCAGGGTACAGTAGAATGTGCAAACAATTCCTGTTGCAAACACAGAGCCCCAGAGATCAAACCCAGTCACTATGAAAGGAGAAAAAAAACATTAAAAGAAATTTCTCTGAGCTAAGTAAAAGAGAAAATTTTATGAGGAAAAAGTCACAGTAGTTTTTGCAGTGTTTTTTTTTGTGGGCAAAAATAAATCAAATTCATTTTCTCTCATTGAATTTTCTCAGCTCTGATAAAGATTATTTTTATTTCATTTTATATCTTAAACCAATCCATAAAATTCATGTACTATTTAATTTTTTTCTCCTAAGATTCTTTAATTTCCATCTTTGGTTCAAGTGATTTATGTCTTTTGTTTTGTCTTAATGAAATTTGAGTAATCTAAAACCACCTAGGCATCCATGAGGAATTAAAATTTCTCAGTATAAACGTATAGCCCAACTAATTAGAATATTAAGGACTTTCTGTTGAAAGTGGCAATATCACTGCAAAAAAAAATCACTCTTGCTTCTAAGATTCTATTTTCTTGAAAGGATCATCACAGTATGACTATTACAGGCAACTTTCATTCTTGTGCTCAGATTGTGTACTTTATGAAGTCACTGAAACATGACCACATATAGAGGACCTTACTTAGCAGTTGTACGCATATAACCCCTAGAATACCATCATTTCTATGACTAAAAAAACAAAATGAAAAACCCAGACSATGACAATGATTGAACTGGGTGTTTAGAACTACCCAGTTTTGCAAGGCAAAGTCCAATAACTAATTGTTTGCATTATTTTCTATGTCAAATCAGCTTTTAGAGCTTTATGGAGTGACTACTATAGTAATTCAGAGCATCTTAAGCAGAGTGATATTCTTCTAACAGGGTATTTTATATACATTTGTTCAAGTTGAGAATTCAGGCATAAAAGTAGTAGACTATGTCCATGGGAACATAGAAGACTCACCTTGATTGAGTGCCAGGGCGGGAGCATACACCACCACACCTGTGTAGAGAATCTGGTAGAGAACAAGAAGGAGGTGAGTAGCAGTGGGGAGAGCCATGGAGGGAAAACTGCCCAGAAGCTCTTTATTGACCTTCCTCCAACGTGCTCACCAAACATTCCCTTCTCATCCACTCTCATGCTGAAGTAATTTAACACTGTAACTAATTTGTAGAAGGGATGTAATCATGAGATGGGAGAAGAGGGGTGGATTTTCAAGATGACTGCTCATTTTGAGATGTCATGGTTACATTTGGTGTATTTTTAAAGAATACAAAAACACAGGCTTCGAGTTCAGCTTTTGACTCAACTTCCCTCTACCCACTCCCCTCATGTGCCCATCACAAAGGGTTCTCTGCYGACTTCATGAGAAACTTTACTAAAGAACAGAAGTACATTTCAGCAGTTTGCTAAAATATGGACTTTAGAGTGGAGATTAGGGAGGTGGGGGAATGTGAGAGGAAAAAACTCTAAGGAAGACTAAAACAGGGGGACAGGTATGTAATGAACATCATCTAATTCACAGAATTGAATTGTGATTGCTACACTGCTGTAATGGGTTCAGTTCACATCTTATTTTAAATGGACTTCCACCATTTGGAGATGGCATCTGAAGGTTTCAACAGCAAATATGCGTAGGCAGTTCAAGAGGCATTGTTTTCTTCTTATTCTCTTGCTTAAATCCATCTGGCATCAGTGGGAACTCTAATTAAGAAGGAAGGTTATCTTGTAGAAAAGAGCACTTGGWCAATGGGAGGAAATTCACTGCTGTGTCCAGGGTAAGCTTGGGGAGCATGAAGACACCCCAGAGCCTGGAGGGTGGGAAAGGAGTGCAGGGGAGGGAATTAGGTATATTGGTTAGGAAAACTGTTTTAAAGTGACCTTAAAACAACAACTACAACAACAACAACAAAACAAAACAAAACAAAAACAGGCATTTCTGGTTCAGCTCAATTAACCATTAAAAAAAAAGAAAAAGAAAAGAATTGGCTATCAGATGTTTTATGTTTAATGCTTGTACAGGTTAAATAGTAGTAAAATATACTTGTAGCAATTTTTTCCCTTTTGTGACTTATATACTTGTTCTTATTATTAGTCCATATTTATGGATTTTAGCAATGTGAAGGGCTCTCAAGGTAATCACATTTCTTATAAATGCTATCTTTGGAAGAAAGTAGTGACTTCTTAGTATTGTTTGACCTTTAGTTGAGTTACTTGCCCCATTAAAACAAACAAACAAACAAACAAAAAAACACTGGTAAATGTATCTTGGAACCCCTGGTTCCCACTTCAGCCACTGTCCCTTACCGTCTGCACAATGTAGATGACAGTTGCTGCATAGCGAACCACTTTGTTGAATCGTAGTTGTAGATACTAGAGGGGACAGAGAGAGAGAGATAAGAGCAGTCAAGGAGGTCCTTGTTTGACTTGGTATTCCTCAGAGTTTAGTGCTTTAGACTTGCAGTGTGATTTATAGTAGGTATTTCTGGAAAAAACATTAAAAGTCAAACATATAATAAAACCCAATTCATGCTCATGCTTCTTGTAATGGCCGGAGAAGATAAGTTGGTTGCTTGAATAAAGCACAGGCCTTCTGATTTTCTGCCCAGGTATTTTCCTACTGGATCCACTGAAGACAGTTTCTCGTTATGTCCCTAAGTTCCATATTTATCTCAGTATTTTATTCTTTTCTGGATTACTGCTGTAACCCTCTGGTTGATCTCCCAATACCAAGACTAGTCCATGCTTTTTGTCACCTCATATCTGCCACCATCACTATTAAACAATGTGCTTACCTGGGCACTTTTTTTTTCCTCAAAAACTTTAGTGATTTTTGACAAAAAAAAAAAAAAAATGTCCACATCTCAAGCTTGATATTCCATCCCGTCTTTTGTCTGACTCAAACCTACCTTGCTTATGGCATACCACCTTTCCTTTGTGAAGGCAGAATTTTCAATGTAAGAGTCTTTCCCTTCAAATTTCAAATTTGTCTCTAAGTTCTTCATCATTTCTCAAGAAAAACGGTTCAATGGCTATTCTTATTCTTCTTAGACCCTCTGTTCTGAGTTCCTACAGCACATATGCTGAACCATTTTCATGGTTACCAGTCTCTGGTAATTTGGTGCTGGATTTACTTATTTAAAAGTTGTCAGTGGATTAGTTACCTATTGGTACTGCAGCAGATTACCACCAATTTGGAAGCTTAAAGTAATAGAAATGTATTCTCTTGTATTACTGAAGCCCAGAAATCCAAAGTCCATTCACTGAGCCAAAATCAAGGTGCTGGCAGGTTGTGCTTCCTCAGGAGTCTCTAGGAAGAATCTGTTTCTAGTCTCTGAACCTTCTGGTCATCCTTAATTTCCATTCTAGTACTCTAATCTCTGCCTCTGTAGTCACTATGCCTTAGCTTCAGTCAAATTTCTCTCTGTCTTACATAAAGGTACATGGGATTGTATTTCTATTTAAGGTATACTTGGGTAATGTAAGATATTAATTTAATCACATTTGTGAAGAACCACTTCTTCCCTTTTTTGGACCATCTGAGATATTACAGGTTTGGGGTATTAAGGATACACATGCATGTGCATGCACCCCCCACCCCCCACACTCTTGGGGGCAGTGATTCTTTTTTAACCAAATTTACTCATGCTGATGTATGTACATAGTGTTCTCATTTACTCATTTTTATCTTTGTAATTTTTATGCTGATTCATTTAATATATACTTGTTTTCTGCTTTCCACATTGCATTCATATGTACAACAAGAAGCAAATAAGATATRGTTTACATCCTAGAAGATCTTACAGATTAGATAAGGCAATTATTAACAAATAATAATAAAAATAAAATTGCACCTTTAATAGTATTCAAGGAAGAGCTACAAGAAGCTGTGAACCCACTCAACAGCAAGGTGTGAGTCACTGATGGAGGTCAGAGAAGGTTTCTATGAGTACGTGTTCTAGATGATGTGAGTATATATCTTCCAATGCATATAGATGAGCAAAATAAATTTTAAAAGTAGCAAATGACTTGAGGATTCAGTTTCTTCATTATTGTTTTGCTTTTAGTATGTTGTCTTCTCTGAATTTAAGGAAAAACATTTTTATTAAATCATGGATTAATTAATGATTTATCCTTTTCCTAGAAAGGATATATAATGTTCCATGGCTTAAAATGGACCTTTCTTTGAAACAAGGAACTCTCKACAGAACTGTGACTCAGTTTCACACTAGCTCACACTTCAAAATTTACTCGTCCAGATGTCCAAATTCTCAGGTATAGAACCACTTTATTTTCAGGCCACTCTTTCCAGATGGTACAAGGAGACTGGGACTCGGAGTCTAGTCTGTGACTGTGAGACTTAGGAAACTGTATGTAAATAAATATTCTTGCAGAGGTAGGGAAAGTCAATGAGGAGGCAAAAAACTCAAATATCACAGGATGGAAAACTTTTGTGATAATGACAGCTTGGGTTCAGACTGCATGCCTTTCAGAAAATAAGCTTACTACACTAAACCRTGGGCTTCCCTTCCCAAGAGAGACACTTCAGAGAAGACAATGGCATAGTGTGTGACCAAGCCAAGGACAGGGCTAAGAATGCAGYGGGATCTTAGGACCATAGTCATCAGTGTGGGTACATCAGGCACAGCTTATTGGCACTCAGTGTCCCAGTACATGTCAATGGCATCTAAATGCACCTGTTATTGTCTGTTGTAGGCTTTCTATCAGCCTTTGCTCCAGGAAGGTCAGAAGTGCATGGGGGTGTCATCATTGGCATTCAGCCAATGACTAAAGGGAGGTGGAGAGAAAATGCAYTGGCTTTTGCCTTTCCAAAATGATAACTCAGACACATTCTGTCCTGTCTTCCAGAGATCCCCAGTGAGACTGAATCCCAAAAGATCACAGTTGGATTTGCTCAAATCCACACCTTGCTCAAAAACACACCTTGTATGGGTTTCCTCTCCTTCCAAAATTACTTTGCCACTTGCCTGCCAGTGCTTACTGTAATCAGTAATGATCCAAATGACTTCCATTCACACCTTATGTCAGGATCTGCCTTTGGGGAAATGCAAACTTAAGGCAGTGATATTTATCTATATAATATAAAGCAAACTCTTTAATCACATAATGAACCCAGGATAGTCTTCTGGAGGATGAGACCAAATATAACACAAAGAAGCTGTCTCAGCCATGTTTCTCTAGAGCATCAGGCCCCTGGCCAACTCAGTACCTGAGTGAAGTCACAAAGACTGCCCACGTGAGCCAGCAGAAGAATCTTACTATTGTATGGGGCCCAGCTCAGGTAGGCAAAATGGTTTATCCCTGGAATTCTGAACAAATAAAACTGTTGTTTTTAAAAGTTGATTTGGGGATTGATACACTGCATGACAGTAGATAAATGATATAAAAATTAGTAACAAAGCAGGAAGATGTAACAAAAGCCAAAAAGTACATTATCTATTTTGGGAACTGGGTGGTTCCTAAGGCCTAGGAAAGCTTTCCTGGAAAATKGGAAAGCTGGGAGGAGACTGCTGTAGGATCTGGAAGTCAATGGATTTTATATTTCAGTTTAGTTTTGGTCCATTCAGTAACACTAGAGAAGTGGTATTTGCAAAAGGGTATGTGCAAAAAGAAGTAGATCAGAAGTCAGAGTCCTTGAATTCTAGTTTCATATTTGCTGATATTTCATTCTRTAATTTAAGCTTCTGTTTTCTCATCTGCAAAGCAGAAGAGACTTTTCAACTGCATTATTCCATATCTGAAAGAATGTATTCAATGAACATGGCACACACCTTACTCTGAGCTACTTTGGAGGCTGAGGCAGGAGGATAGCAAGTTTGAGGAGAACCTCATCAACTTTGTGATGTCCTTTCAAAAAAAAAAATGCAGATGTAGCTTACTGGTACCATGCAGTTGGATTCAATCCCAAGCACAAGCACACACACACACACACACACACACACACACACACACACAAAAAAAAAAAAGACAGTAAAAGATGTATTTTTCCTTTCAATGTATTTGTTCATACTATTAATAGTTGTCTTTGGTGGCATATAAGTATTAGTAGAGTAAAAAGAAAAAAAAACAAAAGTTCAACAGCAAAATTGCATACTTCATGCCTGGTTTTTAAAGTATCAAGGGACATTTATTATCATCACAGTGATTGTTTTAGAATCCCAAATATGATCCTGCTGTATTCCATCTCAACAAGTAGCAACTTCACTTTTTCATGTTGATTTAAGTCCACATAACATAAACCAACATTTACTGCTTTCTCTCACTCTCATTTTCAATTCATGAAAGAATCCTGGTATATATACTCCCAATATAAGAACATATCCATTTGCATTATCTCTTATATAAACACAATATTAATATTTTCTCTTGGGCAGATTATGGAAACAGATTCTTAGTCCCATCTTCTACCATAGTCAAAACCTTCCAACGTATTCTCAACATCCAGCTAGAGTAAAAATYTTAAAATATAAATTACATCATGTCATTCCTCTAACCAAATATTATAATGACCCATCTCACCAATAGTAAACATTCATCTTTACAATGACCCAAAAGGCCTCATGATATGGGTTCACATCCTATCAGAACCTAAATACAACAAATATTTTTAATACCATCTACTATGCTGAAATAATATTCAATGATAATATTATTTTAGACATTTGATTTATCAAAATACAAATATTGTCAGAATAATATCACAAAATATAATTTAGTAGAGAACCAAAAAAATTCACCAAAAAATTATGTAATGAATAAGTGCTCAGAAACCAGTATACAAGAAGACAGTAAAGTCATAGTTTCTGCATAATGAAAAACTTTGTTCAGAAACTAAAAAGTAGTTCAGAAGCCATCAAGGCTAAGAAGTTCAAGAAAAATGAAAAAACAGGTATAACTTATAAACTAGTGTTCAGGGTAAATAGCAGGCTATATAATTTTAGTATATAAAAAAGATGGAGTTAACCTTGACTGAAATAGAGATAACATGAGGAGACTAATTATAAACTATCCAAGTAGAGATAATGAAAATGTATGATATTGCAAATGAGCTAAACTTAATTTATCCCATGGGGTGGGAATAAGTCCTTATGCTCTTTATTGGACAGGGTGGTGGGAAAGGAGCACAGATGGCATCTCTTAGTCTTGAACTCCCACTGCATGTCAAAGCATTTAATCAGTTGGCTATTGCTATGCAACACCCACCAAAACCTGATGTGCTGAAAATCTAAAGAATTATTATTTATCACAACTGAGGACAAACTGGTGTTCCTCTACCCATTTCACCAGGTTTCTTATGTGGCTGCAATCAGYTGGATGATCAACTGTGCCAGAGGGTCTAAGATGGCCTCACTCAGGTCTGGCAGCTGTGTCATGCACAGCCTGGTGTTGGCTGTCAGCTAGCGAGTCTCAGTTCTCCTTTGTGTGGCCACCTGAGTTACAGAGGCTAGACCAGTTATGCCACTCTTCTTACATAGCAAAATCAGGGCAACATTCCAAGAGGGCAAAATCACTTACTTTCTTACTTAAATGCCCTATTAACGTGAAAATTTTATTTGATAGCCCTCTATGAATTACATTCTCCACCCAAACTGGCATTCTTTCTCTTGTCATTTCATTTCTCTCTATTGCTATGGTAAGTAAAGTAGCACAATGATTAAGTAYGTGATCTCTAAAGTTAGCTTATCTGGGTTTGAAAAACTCCCACTTGATAGCTGTGTGACAYTGAGCAAATTACTTGGCTCCATGTGCCTCAGTTTTCTAGTCTATTAAATGGGACTTATGATAACAGTATGTATCTAAAAAGACTGTTTCAAGGCTAAGTTGAGACATAAAATACTTAGAGCAATGCTTAGCAGTTAATCATGTAAATCTGCATTATGCTGTCTTAGGCATTTGTTGACAACCTTTGTTATGAAGTAAACATCATAAGGATAATTTGATTCTTTGCTATATTCCCAGGGCCTAAAGAAGTGCAGAGAACAAAGCAGATATTCAATGGTATTTATTCAACAAATGGAAATTCATAAAAATTATATTCCAAATGTGGGTAGACTTTTATTATTTAAAAAGGTGTGTGTGTGTGTGTGTGTGTGTGTGTGTGTGTGTGTGTGAGTTAGTTACTGGGGACTGAACTCAGGGCTTCAAGCATTCCGGGCAAGCTTCTACCACTAAACTACATCTCCATCTGAAAAACTTCTTCACATTTAACTAAACCTTCATGAAAGATGGGAATTATTATATTCCATGTGGAAAATGGAATTGAGAAATGCTAAGTAACWTGCACACAAAGTGATCTTATTGGTAAAGAAAAATTGAACTTATATTTTCAGGCCCCAAGTTTTCTCTATTTCTCTCCTTAGCTGTTAAGTAGGCAGTTATTTTAATGCAYAGCATTGCTTTAAAAAAATTAGCAATGTCTTTGTGAGTCAAATCTTGAAAGTTGAATGCAAACGCTTAGCACATAGTTATATTTTCAGAAGTATATTAATAAGCAAGGRGAAATGTGTACATTCCTAGTACTAATCATAAATTTAGTTATTTTCTCTTGAATCTWCACCCCAGGTTTTAGCTATTGAATGAACCAAATTTGAGTACCTTCTTTGGGAAGAAGAGGAAGTTAATGTTGACAATTTGGAATATGATCATCTATGGAATCATAGGTTTTAAGACCTTCTAGAAAGTGTTCATTTGCTGATTGCATCCAGAAGTCAAGTGAATCATTTTATACTCATTTAGTTTGCAAAATTCTTAAAGATAGGTCCTTTAGGGGCTGGGGATGTGGCTCAAGTGGTGGCGCGCTCGCCTGGCATGCATGTGGCCCGGGTTTGACCCTCAGTGCCACATACAAACAAAGATGTTGTGTCTGCCGAAAACTAAAAAATAAATGTTAAAAAAATTCTCTCTCTCTCTCTCTAAAAAAAAAAAAAAAAAGATAGGTCCTTTATGAATCTTCTGCTGTAACTTAGTAGGGTGTGATATTGGGTAATGGAAATAAATACCTTCTTCATAAAAACTTACTTGAGATCACAATTAAATTTTAGACATACAAATTCAAATTTGAATTTTTAAATTCATTGAGAATGCTTGCAAAATCCAAACTCCACTGTCTCATTTCCTCTCATTAAAATAATTCCCATWTTTTTATTATTTAGAAATTTTCTTCCAATTAAAATATTTGCTGATTTTTCAAAGTATTACCATTTCCTAATTAAATCTTGGGCCTTAGAAATAATAAGTATTAAAGTGCTCAGTTTGCTGTCTGATGGGAATACCACTACAGAGGGATAYAGACAAAATAGGTTCTCAGTAGACTTTGTGTACTATTAAATCATGACTAACTTTTTATTGGTATCTCCATTTTCTCAGCTGGAAAATTATAATACTTGTGGCATACATTTTGCTTGTTTTTCAAGATAATTATGTTAATAATAATAATAATAATACAAATAAGAACAACTCTGTTTTCTTAAGAACCTCCCACAATCTASACAATGCATCAGGTATTCACATACAGGTGGTAATTTTATCATCCAAAMAGCCCTGAAGGAGCCACACATCATCATTTCTATTCTACAAAGGTGAAAACAGGTATAGGTGTAGCCATAACTTAGGCTTTTCTCCAATACAATTTAATGTCTTTTTCATAATGTGTAATTGCTTTGAAAAAAAAAATCAGTGAGTGTTCTTCAACTACTGATCTTTGTTGCAAAGATGATGTGTATTAATAGAGGGGAAAACAGGATAAAAAATATCATTCAAGTGGAGAGAAATTACTTGAGCTCAAACAGAGAAGGGTGCAGTTCTCTTACCTCGTAAGTGCTAGTGATGCCAGATCTGTAGAACACAGGGAGAAAGAGCTCTGATGTAAAAATGATGACAAATGTATATGAGATAAAGAAAAGAATGAAGGATGCCCCAAAGCGGTAGACCTCGGAAGGTGTCCCCAAGACAGTGACAGCTGACATGAAACTGGCCGTCAGAGATAAGGCTACAGGGCCAAAGCTCATTTGCCTTCCCCCTACCAGGAACTCCCGAGATGTTGCCTTTTTTCTCTCCTTAATGGCAAAGAATATTCCAATTCCACAGGAAACRACAAAGAGGGCTGAAAATACAACATAATCCCAAACACTGAAGCTCTTTGCCTCCATGCTGGGAAGTATGATGCTGGAACGTTGCTTTCAACCAGGTCTTAGCAAGAAGATGTTTCCAAAAGCAAAGTTCTGTACAGCAGATGTTTTCCTGAGAAGAAGGATAGTGATTCCCTGAAGATGAGGACCACAGGTACTATGCTGATCTTCAGACACCAAGTCGTACTCAAGGCAGATTTCAAAAGTTAACTGCCAAGAACTGGCCGTGGAATTGGTACCAAGAGATAAGAAACTGAAATCTGACCCTGGCCAAGAGCTGTCTGCTCCTCTCCTGAAACATATGCCACAGAGAAGGAATTCAGATGTGTTCTGAAATTAATAACCACTGGAGGTGGAATGGACTTGCCAGATAACGTGATCTTTTTATCTCTGAGGTTTTTTTTTTTTAACTTAAGGTTAAATATTACTGGGAATCATGGAAGTGATAAAAGTTGACCATCTCAGCGTTTTTAATTAGTGAGATGGAATCTGCAAAACACAAGCACAGTCCTCAGTGGTGTCTCTTTCCTGATTAAGAGGGTGGAGATGCTTACCTGCAATTGCCTGAGGCAGTGGGTATGAAGGGTAAGGAGCAAAGAACTGGGAACCCAGAGACCTTTGCTCAAGYCCTGACTCAACCACAAGTGAATTATTTTTGGCAAATCATTTAACTTTTCTGGTCTTTACCCAGAGCATTGGGATAAGACCTTAAAAGGTTATTAGGACTCTTGAGTCTCAAACTGTCTGCTTTTCTTTGTCCAGATGTTTAAAATGAGAGATAATAAATTTATCTCATGAGCTATGATTTGTGATTACGGTGGAGCACTCCTGATCACTGTATTCTCTTGATTCTAGGACTCAAAATAYGGATCTTACAATAATTGATTATTTATGACCTCCACTTTGTCTCCTTCTCTCTTCCATTTTCACTGTTTTACCAAATTTGTTCCCATTGGCCAAGTTAGAGTTAGGACAAGACAAATGGGAAAAGAATGGGGGAAATCCAGTTATAGATTCCTGATTTTGCTCTTCTTAGATTCAGTGTTGATTGCTCAGGAACACATCCAGCAAGTCTTTTGGGACTATTTCTCTATTCTGTTCACACTTCCACCCAACCTCAATGATTCTCTCTATCTCTGCAAACCTGTCTAGGATACAAGATCTAGTTCTCAGTCTCCTCAGTCTGTGTATCCTTTCCTGTCCCTCAACCTCACTTCCCAAATCAGATTTTCTTAGTACTCACTTTGAATTCAGGTTGAACTCCTCAATCATCCACATTTATTTTAAGCAGTCTCTAAGTGTGTGTTTGTAGGAGTCTATCACACGTTACAAATGATCATTTCCTTAGAGACAGAGGCAAAGTTCTAGTCCACATGCCCAGTAAATAGCAGTCATAGAAAGTAACCAAAAACAAAAATGTAGAAAACTAAAATATCAGTAACACTCAAAGTCAGAAACACTTCCAAACACAGGAAACTTTAACTAATTTTCTCTCTCTCTCTCTCTCT